TTTATCAGGGATGCTACTGATCTTTGTATTCCCCAAAATCTAGGAAACCTGGCAAAACGCTAACCTGTAATAAAAGGTCAAGTTAACCACATATTTTCTGACATTAAAACGCAGGGATTTTATAAAGTAACAGCAATGTCAACAACCACTAGTAGACCACCTGCTGTAGAAAACCTGTCCAATTAGAAGCTTTTTATTAAATTTGCCTGACTGAATTGAGGTATTTTCAACTTAGAAAGATCTCCAACAGGCAGATACAAAAAAGTCTTCTTGATGTTAAGACAAATGTAAGAGCAATAAAACTTGAGATAGAACAAAATTTACTTGACACTTTTTATATATTTGGCATCAACAGATATACCTCTTTAGTATAGTGCAATGGTTCTCAATCCTGGTCCTGGAGGTTCAGTATCCAGCATGTTTTAGTTTCAACTAGGGATGCACAATATATCGGCATCAATATCATATTGGCCGATGTAAGTCATTTTTTAACATATCGGTATTGGTCCGATTAGTAAAACTGGGCCAATATTAACAACCGCTTCTCCTCCAGCTTTACTGGTGACCAAAACAGTGATATTAATATTAGATATTGATATTGACCCAAAAATTTCCTGTTGAAATATTCTAGTTAAAACGAGGGATGCACCGATATGAAATTTTTGGGCCGATACCGATATTAATATCACTGTTATGGCCAATAACTGATGTTGTGTTGCCGATACCAATGTACTGACATTAATGCTTCTAAAATAAGCAGATTTTGTATCAACTGAAAATTATTAAAGCTGAATTTACATAAGTATATACACACACCACAAACATTGACGCTTCTGAGATGATTACAGTCACTGTTACATGAGTAAACAAATACACATCACCCCCTCTCTGAAACAGATAAATAAATGAAAAGACATTGGTTGTTAATATCAGCTCAGTCTTCTTTATCGGACCAAAAGTGATATGTTAAAAAATGACTAATATCGGCCGATACAGATATTGATGCCGATATATTGTGCATCTCTAGTTTTAACTGTGCTTCAACACACCTGATTTCAATTGGCAGGTGATTAACAGGTTTCTGTTGAGCCTGATGATCTGCTGCACAGGTGATTCAGCCACTGGAGCAGAGGAACAACTAAAACATGCTGGATACTGGCCCTCCAGGATCAAGATTGTTAACCACTGGTATCGAGATCCTGAAAAACATTTACTAAATAAATTATCTGAAACATTACAGTCAAATGACATTTATTTTACTTTAATACTAGGGCTGGGCGATATATCGATATTTTTAAAATATCTGTATAATTTTTAAACAAGATATAAGATGACTTTATATCTTTATATCGATATAACTGGTCAAACTGCTATGCTAGCGATAAGCTGCTATGCTAGCGATAAGCTGCTATGCTAGCGATAAGCTGCTATGCTAGCGATTAGCCGCTATGCTAGCGACATGTTGCTCCGTCTCTTAACGGCAATTACATACATTCTCACAAGTTTGCTCAATCTGAGAGCCTCCGGGTAAACGTGCTGCTCTAAATTTAGCATTTGGTGTCCTGGTTTTTAATTATTTGGGGACGTTCAACGCCAACGGAGTTCTGTTTTCCATCCTGCTTGTGCAGAGACGAGTCAAACCCCTCCCTCCCCTGTGTAATGAGGAAACATCTACAGAAAGTTGGAGTGGCCAAATTACCTCAAACATATTGCAAGGGTTTGAATAGTAAACTAAGGGGTTACCATTTTATTTTGAAGGCGGGCTCAACGGGAGAGGAATGTTGTTCCGGTTTTTTTCCGCTCTGGTTTGCTATGCTAGTAAATACTCCGTTACGAGCGATTCTGTTGAAAAAGTGGAGAGTTTTGGGCCATTCCCATCTGTACCTGGTCGGCCCTGCCCGGATAGCTCCAGTCGGCCCCAGCCTGGCCCGGTTGATTCCACACATCCTTGCTTAGGTATGCAAGGAATGCAGTCAGAGACATTTTCAGCTTCTAGGTAATCAGCTTGATAATGAATGATAATGAATTGAGCAAGCCCAATGTGGGCTGATTCTACCCACCAATCAGAGGATTGCTCTAATGGAAGGTGTGAATTTGCTGACTGATAAGCCGATTTATCAGTCAGCAGTGGGTGTGTTGGCCCTGGTCAGCCTGAAGCAGACCACCTCAGAAAGAGGGCTGAAAAACAGTCTCGTTGAACCCTGAAAAAAGGCAGGCCACCAAGATATGAAAGAAAGCTATGCTATCCGGGCTGGGCCGACCAGGTATAGATGGGAATGGCCCATAAGTAAGGCGTGGGTTACGGCGACTGTAGACCGAAAATAATACTCATAAAAGAGCAACCAGAGACTGAGTCATTAAGTATAATCACTGATATGAGCCAATACTGTTAGATTTCAGCCGTGTTTGCCCTAATAACTAATAGCTCCACTGTGCATGACCCATGTGATCTTCAATAGATGCAATTACATCAGTGTTTCCCTTACATAGGCGTAGCCGTAGCGGCCCGCCACAGCTGAAATCCCAGCGCCACGCCTACAAGATCCCAAGTTTTATTGATTTTTTATTTTTATTTTTTGCACTGTTTCCCAAAGAAGCAGTGGGAACTACTCTGTTGTTGCTTGTGATCACAGCCGGCAGGCAGCACGGAGGAAGAGGCAGGGCAGGGTGGTTACAGCTAGGGATGAGCCGGATACTCGTTTCAGACGAGTATCCGTTACGGATAAAGCATTTTTGACGAATACGAGCATGAAATGAGTAAAACTCGTAAATATCTGTAATCGTGCTGAAGGAAAATCCTCATTGGGCGTCATGCTCTGTGATTGGCCAGTCACATAGAGCGCCCACCCCTCCCTACACAAAACTCTGCAGCCAGGAGCTTAGTCCGGCCCATGCATCCACACACACAAACAGACAGTAACGGATCTCTCTGCTTGCTTCACTGTTGCTCACATTTCTTCAGTTCTCTCTAGGTTTTCTTCAGCTCGCCTCTTTTTCGGTTGAAGATTTAAAGTTACTTTTTCGTAACGTACGTGGTGCATTTGACAAGACAGAGCTGGAAACGGCTCGTGCATGCGTCGGTCACTGCCTCCAATCTGGACGGGTTTTTAAAAATTATATATTTTCTCTCTCTCTCTCTCTCTCTCTCTCTCTCCCCCTCTCTCCCCCCCTCTCCCCCCCTCTCCCTCTCCCTCTCTCTCTCTCTCTCTCTCTCACACTCACACTCACACTCACACACACACACACTTTAATCAACATTGTTTTGTTTAACTGTGTGTAGGGAAAATGCCAACAGCATTAGGAGAGAATCTGTTTAATCAAATTAAAATAAAAAAAAATTAAAAAGTTGTGTCTGGTTCTAGTATTTCATATTTCCTAGTTCATACTGCATGAGTTCAGATGCACTTAAATATTAATGTTCTGATTATATTGACAAATTAGTTTATTACTTAAAAATAGTTCATTTAATATTGTGATAAAAAATATTTTATCTCAACTCTGAGGCTGCTCTGTAAATAGTTTTCAAATAAACAATACACATAGCAACTTCTGATCAATCCATATCAATTCCAGATTTAAAATAATGTATTGATGTAATCCACACCCACTCATTTCCAAATAATAAGGTGCATTCATCTGTGTATCTCCTTTGATCCAGATTAGTGATATTTTCAGCACCAGAACAATGAAGCAAAGAAACAGATTCCTGAGTTTGTGTTAGTAATTTTATTTATTAGGTGCATCTGATCTGTTCTATTTTTCTCTGAAATGAGATCAAATCAGTGCTTCTTTGGGTTGTCTCCTCTCTGCACTAGAAAAATGTACTTTATTATAATGTTCACTGTAATGCATCTTGATGTTCTTAACAAATCAATTAAATCAAAGATATTGGCCAATAATGCCAAATATGTACATATGTGTTTCAGTCATTTTTATACTGGCTTAAAAACACTTCATTAAGTCAACTAAGCAGGGGTGTAGAACGTTTTTAATAGGGCCAGCCCAGTAATGATCTTGGACCAAAATAAAGGGGGCAGAAAGTCAAATAAAGGGGGGCAAAAGGAGATGTTTTTCCAGACGAATTCCAGAAAAATTAAATGCCCCGCCCCCCGGCAAAGTGTGTCACCGAGAGTTTAAAACAAAAATTATTCTTGTAAAAATATTGGTGTATTCACCTTTAATACTGGTTATTAAAATGCAGCAGTTGCTGGATTGGTGTAGTTCAAAGTGGAGTGCATCAAATAAAACAATAATAATTTGGGACAACTACTGTGGTAAACTGACTCCAATTATTTTAAACTAAATTAGGCTTTAATACGAATTTTTCTTAAATGTGTAAATTAGACACTTCTTGTAACACTTAATGGCTGAGGTTCACAGAGAAGCTTTTATTAAATGTCAAGATTAATTTGAAATAAATGTAGTACAATTTTTAAAGTTATCCAAAAGATCTAAGTAAGCATCTGTTCAACTCAATTTAATGAATATTAAATTAACAGTAAGTGGATTTTTTAATAAAAATGACTAAATTCAACAAATTAACAAACACATTACAATAATAATGATTTGATCTATTTTGTAGCTAGTTTTTGCAATTAAATTACATCCATGAGTATTTAGCCAATGAGCATATCTTAGCTGAGCTAACTAAGTAAATGCTGTTTTCGTCTGGTTTCGTTCACTCGATTTTCCCTCATTTATAATATAAATGTATAGTGCTTATTAGGTTTCAATATATTAACGATGCCACAGCTGTCACGTCACCTGCAAGGTTTCATCGCACTCCTATTAGCTGCCTCTGTTACAGGATAAGGTTACCAAGGCCAGCTGGTGTTAGCAACAAGCTAATGGTACAAAACAATGGGGAGGGGGGGTAATGACAAGAAAAGCAGCTCATCCCTGTTAGGGCTGCGAATGCTAGCTGCTAACGACTCTGCTAACTGTTGGTAAAGGAAAGAGAATTTGACAGCAGGCCGTCCGACTAATTTTCTTTGTCTTACCCCCAAAAGCCACAGGGACAGCGTGGAGGTATAACGTTGACGTTGGTCGAAGGCTTGCTGCCTTCACTTCCCGTGTCCCCCATGTCGGTGTGCCGTGACGAGCTGTCCGCGTAGCAGGTGAATCCGTGGATGGAGTGAAGGCCTCTGTATTCAGATCACCTTGGCTTCAGAAGTCCAAACTGGGTCCAGATTAATCCTTACGGGTTCCGTTTTTGAAAGGACTGTTTGCCGTCACGAGCGGCCACGGAATAGTGAAATAAAAGCAGCTAAAGTAAACGTTGAAAGCGTCAAAAACACACGACGGTCAGAGCCACCGGGGGACACTGGGCCGATCAGCTGGAGTGAAGAGCAAACCACTGGAATGCAGAGGAGGGGTTCGCGGTGGAATAAAAAATTAAACCCTGACTGATGTGTTTGTCCTCAACAGTTTGCATTAATTCTGCTATCAAAAATTAAATCCGTTTTAGAGGATAACGTGTTACTTTAATTCTCTAGCAATCCCTGTAATGTTTTTTAGTTCGAGGTGGAGTTAAGAAATGGTATGATCCGAGCAAAAGATTAAACTGACAGCCCTCGTTTTCGTGATAAGGAATCTCGCTCCCGAGAAAAAGTGAGAGTAGGGGAACATTTTTCAACAATATCATTATGTTTTTGTAAGACATTCACGTTTACTTGACATTATGACCATTTTTTAATTGTCCAATGAAAAGACGAATTGAAGGAATTGAAAAATACATGTTTAAAAAGCTTAAATTTTATTTTATTTTTTCGCATTTCGGCGTGTTTTTATTGTCTGAATGAGAAGTGGCACTAACCACATTTTATGTTATATTTTGAAAGCCTTATTAAACTTTTATTATAAAAATAACGATATCCTTAAATGTTATAAATCAAAATCTATAACGAAAATTAAGACTTTGTTGTCATGCTTATTCTCACAAACGTATGCAAATAAGGTAAAGCTTGTATTATTTTCTATCTGAAAAGATGGAGGAGTTTAGCTTTTGTGGTTATGACAGATACACTGTAAAATCAAACATACTGTGTCAAATAAAAAATACAAGTTAAAAGGAGTGCCTTAAACTTCTAAACTGATTTTTGCAAATATTACTTTCTGTTATCTTGATTAAAAATCGCTTGTGTAAACCTCAGTGTTAGTTTGGGTGGTTTGTATAACTGATTAAATCCATCGAGTGGTTGTTTGATCTTTCAAAATTACTTAATCTGAACTCAAACATTTTACTCCACCCAAATGCCTCACTGATCTCAGATTTCAAGCTGGCATATACATCATTAATGAATGGAATTTAATTCAACTTTTTGTGATTATTTCAACAATAAGCTTATTTATGTTTTATGCATGACTTATTTATGACTTTTAAGTCTCTCCACATTTGATGTGACAGCTCGTATCTTTTGAAGTGACTGTGTTGGTAAAGTTACGAACAGTTGATCTAATATTTCTTAAAGATAGCTGCTTTAAAAGGCTCAGTCTGAAAAAAATGAAGATTAATTCTGAATGGCTTGGTTAGTCATAGTGGGACATTTTCCAAAGTGAATTTCTACCATTAAAATCCTTCAATTTTCAAAATTTCATATATGTGTTTTATAAATCTACAAGGAGCCTAGTCTCCTCCCTTTCCAGTCACCTCATAGGTCACAGGAAACTCAAAAAGTTCATTCAAGTCAAAGGGGCTAAAAGAGCTATTTTCTAATCCGTTTTGCCTTACGCCCTGAATCACACATATGCTGTACTTCAATTTAAATAAAAAGTAAGTGGAGTGTGTTTCGACCACGCCAGTCACGTACTTTGAGATTTATCAGCTTGTAAAAGTTCATAATTAGCATGACTACAAATCAGATGTCGGTACGTTGCTCATATGACAGCACCGGAGAATCTCCTCTCCCCTAGAGTGGCTACCACACGGCCAGGTTGTTCTTTCCTCCTGAAGGAAGGATTTGAAGTCAGCCGAACTTAAAGCCACTTTACCTCTGCTTTTCTCCGTGTCTGGTTATAAGACAATTTGGTGATGCTCATTTGTAGTCCTGATGTATTTTCACACAAAACCTAAAATAACTTTTCACCCCGTTCAAAAAGAAGCACATTCTAGGCATCATAATGCGTCTTTAAAATTAATGGACATAATATGTGAACTCCAAGGCACATAACAAACGGGACTGGGAAATAGCATTTTTAGCCCCATTGACTTGCATTAATTTTTCGTTCTTTGACGTTCTTCGACGCATGGTCCGGAAATAGATGGACGTGACTTAGGCGCCCCATACACTGCAAATTCACTGTTGTTTACATGCAACTGTGTTTTTTTACAGCAGGACTTAGCAAAAGGTTTGCAACACTTTCAGTCAGAATTCCATATTTCTTTCAGAAAGTAATTGTGTAATGTGACGTCAATGTCAGTGTTGAGATTTATTATAATTTTAAAAGCCTTTGTGTGCTTTTAAAGGGATACTTAGCAACTTTTTAATATTTTAAAATCATTTTCTTGTGCAAATATGTGCCAAAATCATCCTTTACAGGGTTAATGAAAGATCACCCAGCTCCTATCGCCCCCTGTGGCCAGAATATTCCACTTGGAAATTCAGACTGGTGGGTCGCTCTGTTGGTACTTAGAAATATTTGAGCTGACATACCTGGCACTGCAGTCTGCTTCCAACGTGTTTCCTGCATGTTTTAGATCATGAACACAGCTAATTTGTTCAATTTAGTGATGAACCACTCCTGTAGACACTAAGAAAGGCTGGGAGGCATTTCAGCTGTTAGATTTAGGTGTTAAAAAGCCAAACACACAGCGAGGAGATTTGAATTTGGTTCTGCAAATGGACACTAGGGGGTGCCAAAGCAAGCCAAAACTGAGCAGTTCCCCTTTAAAGGCATTTTCAGATTATAGTTAATTTAGTATTAAACCGGTTCTGTGCTAGCTTTTTTAGCTGGTCAGAGTGAATCTCTTTTTCTCTGAACTGTGGTTGTTTGTAGAGCATTTTGTAGAAATCAAGTAAACATTATATCCTGTGGTAAAATTTGGTTACTGCAACTACTTAAAAAAACTCAGGAGCTTTTTTTGATGGTCGTCGTCAAATTACAATAGTCAACACGGCGGTATTAGCTCGCAGGAGACACAGCAACCCCACACTCACTGATGGTAAACACTACTTATGTAATCCCCACAGCCAGTTAGATATAAAATATATTTCGGTATAATCTTCCTTCTAAAATGACTAAAGCGTTAGACTCTTTAGGATTTTCTCACTGTAAAATTCTCACCAAATTATTACATACTGCGCCTTTCATTGTTTGTAACCTTTTATACAATCCACTTTAGAAGAGCTGAACTACAATTTGAAGTCCTTTATCAAAATTCAATCCACTTTTCTTTAAAATCTATGATTATCAAAGTGAGCTGCATGTGTATATGCATTTGTTTAAATATTGGGTTTTATTCAATTGTAGTATAGCCTATTGATAGCATGCAGCTGGAGGTACAGGGACTTATGCATTATGGTGTGAAGGCTTATTGTTTTCTTCAACATGCAGAAGATGTTTAATGCTCATTATGCTCAGAATCTTTTACCTGCATCATGTCATTGGATCTGTAACGTGTCTCTGTAATCTGTAATTGTTTTGTTGTTGTCAAAGTGCGCTGTTTATGTATTAACCACTTCTGCCATGAGATAGTTAAAAGGTTCAGACTGCTTCAAATTAATTTAAGATACGTAAACACTTTCGTTTTTCATCTTTTGTAAATGCTTCAACAAATCTGTCTGCAGAACAGTTAGAAACCAAGGTTTTGGTGATGTTACTGATGACTGCAGTCCGTCTGGTTTGAGCTGTGAGAGTAGGGTGGTATAATGGTCACAAATATTGATGGTGCTGTTTACACCAAAAGAAAGAACACCCCTGGATTCTGTTTCTCACCTCAAAATGACTTTCAGGAGAAAGCAGCTCTTTATTTTGCAGCCTGGAGATTTGGGTTCCCCTAAGTAAGACCTGCCAAGAAGAATCTTCTGTCTGCAGGGATGGAGAAATAGGCACTGGGTAAAATGAAGCTAGTTCATCAGCTCGTTAGACATGAGGAGGGAGCATACCGCAGAGGATTTCAAGAATCAGTTTTTTAGTTTATTATTTCAGATTTGGTGGAACAATACTAGCAGACTTCTTTTTTATTATTAGTCTCTATCAAGGCCAACTTTTGGTCATTTTTCTGGTGACATTTTGTGGCCTTAGGACATAATACATATATTTTTTTCTTTCTTTAGATAATGGAGGCAGTTCAGAGAGCAAACATAACCACACAATACTCCAGCTTTGGTCCCTCTCATAGAAAAGTGGTTGTTTCTTTCCACCACAGCCTGAGTCCAGCCTAAAGCTTCTTTTGTCCTCTGGGGACTTGGAGAACACCACTTCAAAGACAGACCCCCTCTGCCTTGTATATCGAATACCCTCTCTTCTGCAACTAAAGTAAAAACCTAAGGGATTAATTAGACATTGGATCAAACATGGGTTAAAACCCCCACTTTCTGGACCACAGAAGTTAAATTACATGTAAATGCTTTTTTATTTGCCTTTTACCTTACTAGGTGATGATTGTAGAGGAGATAAGTGTAACTGGAGGGTTGCAGGTTCGAGCCCTGTCTATTCTAGTTGTTGTGTCCTTGGGCAAGACATTTAAAATATTTTTCTGGAGTTTTCCCCTTTCAGAAATGATGACTGATTTTTCAGAAATCTGTAAAAGTGATTATCTTATCATGTACTGTGATATGATGTAACCAATATGTCTTCTTATTTTTTTGCTAAGCACGCCCCCTGCCCCGCAGAGCTTCGTGCAATAGGAAACTGAGCGCCGATCAGAACTAACCAATGGTGTTTGACTACTGCTTACGTGCTTCAAATTTAAGGAAGTACTTCAGCTGATGCAGAGTTGATGAACTTTTCACGGACAAGTAAGCCTTTAAAATATAAATATATGAGAACACAACATGACATGAGCATAATACTTGTAAAACAACATGTTTTAGCTCTGTTTGTCAACTACAGAATCATGTTCATAAACGTGAAGTTGCCACCTTAACAAAACGAATCAACAGACTTTTTGTGTGAAATGCTTGTCAGCCACTAGATGGTGCCATCGGATAAGAGAGATTCTCCGTCTAGCTGCTTTAACCCACCTTGTCTGCTAGTGTTGATCGGAGGGACTGTGGCGCCTGTGCTTGGCAGTCTTGCCTCTTTCTTGTAGCTCATCATCACCTGTGTGTGTGTGTGTGTGTGTGTGTGTGTGTGTGTGTGTGTGTGTGTGTGTGTGTGTGTGTGTGTGTGTGTGTGTGTGTGTGTGTCTGTGTGTGTG